CCCCACCTGCCCCCCAAGAAATTCCTTGACTTTGCAAGTTTTATTGCGGAATCCGACAGATCTCAGCGAGCGCAGTCGGATGCGGCAATCAGAAAAATAATAAATAAATAAAAATGGGCATTTTTTGGGGGCATCCGGTTTTGCCGGTTCACCCCCCCTGGACCGGTCCGGCCCTGGTTGGACCGGGGCAGGTGATCCGGCCGGTTGCTGGCCCAGCCCTGGTGTGGTTAGCGTTTTTTTTTTTTTCTCGTTTTGGTGTTCCAGTGTGAGGAGAAGGCTCTTCCAACTGTTTCCTTCAGTAAAGTAGCAGGGAAAGGGTCTTTTTTTTTTTCGTTCAGTAAAGCAGTAGTAGCGGTGAAAGACCCTACTACGGCGGGAAGCAGTAGTTTCCCGCAGAGAAAGCAGCGAGGAATCCCAGGATGTATGCTTTTGGAGATGTCTTCTTGTGGCAATGAATTGCGTATAGCTCTTCCAAGCAGTACTGGCGTAGTTTGAAAGCTTTTGTTTTCATCTTCTGTGGACTTCACAGCATTGCGGCTGGAGGCTGGATTGGTGTTTTGCTCTTCCTTGAGTTTCCTGATGAAGGACGTCATTCACAGCTCCTCCTCCTCCTCCTCGTCCTCCTCCTACTACTACTACTACTACTACTACTACTACTACTACTACTACTACAACTACTACTGCTACTAGTGCTGCTACTACTGCTACTGCTACTGCTGCTACTACTACTGCTACTGCTACTGCCGCTACTGCTACTACTGCTACTACTGCTACTACTGCTACTGCTACTACTGCTACTACTGCCACGACTATGACCAACACTACCACTACTACTACATCCTCCCTCTCCTCCCTCATCATCCTTCACCCTTGAGAAGGAGTTGGTACATCTGCATCTGAATTCCACCATAGAGCACATATTCTTGCAATGTCCGGGGGCTGTCCTAACATGGCGATGGTGGGACAGAATCTGGAACCTGCTGGACACTGGATCGACCTGGCCATGGGACTGGAGGGCGATACTATGTGAGGCATGGACCTCTCCCTCGGGTAGCACCTTTGAAAACAATATGTTTAAGATAGGGAGGAGAGCCGTTATGTGGACCATGTGGAGGAGACGGTGTATACACGCCATGGAAGAGGTCCGCATAGCCGGGGAGGAAATGACAGACACGATTAAACAATATATACACCAAGATCTTATGGCACAATCGCAGAAAGTAAAAAATCAGCTGGATCTGTTTCAAACACAGAAAGATATAAAACAAACAATCCATCAATTCTCAGGGGACTGGCTGGGTGGCAAGAATGGGGGCCGAATCACCTTCATCAAGTGGGATGGCGGTCGCGCCCAGGAAGGCAATGAAGGCACTCAGGATGGCAACCGGGAGACGATCAAGAACGACTATCAGATTTGCTTCAGAGATTGGACAACAGTGGGTCAAGGGATCCCGCTACGGCCACCCTCGGATTTTCCCGATCCTTTTCCGCCCCACCAACTAGCGATGGTGGACATGCAATGGTATGGAGCGGAGCAAGCAGGACTGTAGCAGGCAGATTGCAAAGGTGTCGGCAGACAAGCTGCGTCATTTGGAAGACTGTGGCCATGACTCCCAGAATTTTTGCCTTGCCACCTGAAACCTGTCATGGTTTCCTCCCCAGCCCGCCTTCCATCCTTCATTCACTACCTTATTCGGCCTCAGACGAGGCGAGCCCTTTTCATAGTCCTCACGACCCGCACAGTCAAAGGTGGGAGGAGGAACTAGTTCATAGCAGCAGATATCCGGCGCCCTGCATGGGGCGAAGAGGTTCCCTCCCATGTTTTTCTATATACCCTGCTCAGTCAATCCTCTGGATCCCAGAGTAATAAATGCTGGCAGGTGTATCCTCTATTTTCATTCTGTATATGGGACGCTGGACCCGCTTTCCAGAAGGTGATGCTCCCCACCAATAGATGGAGCCTCTCCCCCGGTGCTAGCGGTGTCTGCCCTTACCAGCACCACTAGCACTGGAGGGGTGTTTCTCTTTTTTTTTTTCTTTTTTTTTTTCTTTTTTTTTTTTTTTTAACATTTGGCAGGTGGATGCAGTGGTACCACCTCCACCTCCTCCTCCTCCTCCTCCTTTGCCACCTTCTTTTCCTTCGCCGACTTCTTCATGGTGGTGACGGTCTTCTTCATCGTTTTTGTCCTTTTCCTTTGGTTGTTAGGACTGGCTGTCTTGGATGTCTTTCCATGTGTATTGGATGCGTATGTGCAGCGGTCAGAGTCCGGTGTGAAGGGCATCGATCACTGAGTTCCACCTATTCCAAGTTTCAACGAAGTCTTTTGCTTTCGCCTTCAGTGGATAGGGTTTCTGTCTTTTTTTTTTTTTTTTTCCTTTCTTTTTGCAAAAGAAATTTATTCTTTCTTTTTTCTTTGATCAGTTCTATTTCTTTTTTCCTTTCCTTTTCCTCGTCTTTTTTAACCCAGGTGTGGAGAAGCCATAGGCAGACAGTGAACCCATGGTCAAGTTGAAAGCTTGGATTGATGGAAGTGGGAGAAGGAAGTCGGTGATGTTTCTGAATGTTGCCTTTTGCTCTTGTGATATGCATGATCGTTCCTATTTAGGAATGTAAAGCGTTCTATATGAGGGAGAATGAAGATGGGCGAACTGTTGCAGCCATGGATGTGCTCGTACCTACGGTAACTCCTCTCCTCTTTCCCCCCCCCCCCCCCC